ACGTCTCCGGGGGTGGTGTTGTTTGGGGTCCGCCAGCAGTATTAGCGGCGGCAGCGGCAGCGGAAGCCTGGGTGGTGAGAAGAGTAAGGGCCTCAGTTAGGCGGTCGATTTTCGCCTCGAGTGCATCCAGCCGAGTGTCAGCGTCAGGAGTAGCTCCGGAAGGCATGACAGGTGCGGGGATGACAGGAGTGACAGAGGAGGAGGGGACAAGTGGTAGGGGGGTGACGAGGGCGGAACGGACTCGTATTCCGAGCCTGAGTCAGCGCCGAACCTAGCAATCTTGTCCGGTTGATCCCGTAGAGAGTTTCTTCTGCTGTAAGGGCAACCCCGGAGGCCTGAGATCAAGGTCCTAGCAGGGGAGGATCCAAAGAGTGAATAGAAGTAAGCAAATACAAGTGAGGCTGACCTAGCAGGGGAGGATCCAAAGAGAAGAAACTCTAAGGGTCCGCCTGCTAGGTAGCGGAACTATATACTGCGCTCTTGACGCGCCAAGGTTGATCGTTGCTCCGTGCAGTATGCCTGCGCCATGTCGCAGGCCAGGTCCCAGGGGGATCGCCAGGCGGGGGCGGCGATGCGCCTGACGGAGGCGGTGATGCGATCACCGGAGTCGGAACCGGAGTCGGACCGGAATCGGGATCGTCTCCGAGGGGCCGAAAGGGAGGTTCCCCTGACAGCACTATCAGACATATTCTCTGAGATCTGAGTGCAGTTTCATATGGGAAATGTTTCAAGCAACACTTATATTTGGTCCTTTCCTTCACCTGCATGAGAAGGCTAGACCTCTTTCAGTTCTAAGCAATTTTTGAATAAACACAAGATTTCAGAGGTGTTGACATGTATTACACCAAGATTCTTCATGAATGTGAAAGCCAATGTAGTCCTCTGCTGGTCAGATGTGATACTTTGAGCAATGGTCCTCCGGGACAAGCAGGAGAAAAGATATACTGGGAATCCAGAAACGTGAGAACTGACATTAGCATAGCCACCAATGTCAGATCAAGGACAATTTGACAGGACATGTCAAAACTTGTGGGGGGAACAGAGCACCAATGCCTGGTAGTATAACTATGAAAATGTTAGGATACATTACACCATGATATGAGAGTTGTGTGACCGAGCTACAAAGGAAAACATTAAGGAATGGGAAAGATATTCAAAATATATCTTTCAAAACATTTCTACAGCCAATCTCAATGAGGATGAGAGACCTGGCTAAGAAAATGGAATGAGAGAAAGCAGTGCATATACTCTTGAATCTGACACTTGCCTGATGGGATCTGACCTGGCAATAATGTATTAAAGCGAAATTGGTGTTCTGAGAAAAACTGATACTTGAGCTAGTATAGGATGGTTGTTGATATCTCTAATAGGTATTTGATCAGGAAATCTCTTGAAACATATTATATATTATTTTGTTGAGCACTCATTCTTCAAATATAGCCATTTTCATAAATACTGCCAAGAAAATATTTTGTTTTGCAAAAAGCATTTACAAAGAAATTTTACCAAAAAGGCCAAGAAGCACAACAAGACACGGCACAACCACTTAATCCAAGACATGTTTGATAGCTTTGTTCCTCGGGGTTACACAAGCTCACCTCCCGCTCCGGCCCAGGCAGGAAGCCGTGTTTCATCAATTAAAACCCTGGCGCCCATTTCGCTAAGCTCACTCTCCATTCTCCGCCCTCGGCCGATGCTCAAGCCATGCTCCGGATCTCCACTAATGCCGGCACTCGCATAACAGTCGGGCGGCATTATGATTCCGTATAATCAGCCGGCATCGTCACACTTCGTGACTCTCTTGCTTCCGTTCCATCATGTCTGCCGCCAACGAGCTGCAACGGTCCCCTCCAGGTGTGTCTTTTCTTTTGCCTTTCTACTATGCTCAATTTCCATAATAGTGGAAGGCTCACTACAAGTCGGCACCAGCGCCTGAATCGTGCATCAACATAGTGCCGCCGGACTTCGACTTTAATGCGCGTCAATCTAGTGGAAAGATTCCATTTGTCCGCCGTCGCTGCTGCTTACCTTGCCAGGTGGTTCCAGTCAGTGCCTTTATTCCGCTTTTTTCTCTCCAGGGACTGACATTCTACCAGGGCTCAACAGCGACTCCGACGCGTTGGAAGCTACGGCAGCATTGGCACGGCTGCCTTGGTGCAGGCCCCAAAGCTAGTGCACACATCAACATAGCGCCGCCGCGCGTCAGAAGGATTGTATCTGTCTGGTATGTGGTTTCCTCACATTTTGCCGATGTGCTTACTGAACTCGTTGCTAGCTCAGCGTCGTTCTTGCTTCAAATGGCGCATTTCACCCGCGCAGATGTTAGTATTGCCCCCTGGTGCGTGCCTTTCACCTTTCTTAATGATCCAATGACTGACCTTGGCTTCAGACTGTCTCTTCTTCTTCTCAAAGCACTTGTGCAAGCGTGCTTGTCATGTTCCTCAACTTGCGCCGGACACCCGCGGCAACGGCTCACGTTTGTGACCCACATGCGCCAAGTCCAACGAGGCACCGTTGCTAGTAAGTGCCTCTCGTCTGTTCCTGTGCTCGTTACTGAGCTTCTCCAAGCTCTTGGCTGCCAGTAACATCAGCTGGATGTCCTCCTATAGTGTGCTCTTCCACCTTCCTGGTATCTCACCCACTAAACGTTGGCTCAGCTCGCCGAAAACCGCTATCCGGCGCTATCAATGATCCGATCAATCGATTATCCGATGATTTCTGGCGGTCATTTGGACGCGAAAATATGTGTTAAATGGCGTCATTTTCTCCAGGATTTTGCCGCCGGAGGCGCAAATCCACGCTAGACTTTCGACGCGAACGTTGGCAGCAGTGCGCTGCCTGTGTGAGTCTCCTTTCCTTTCCTTTGAGCTATGCTGACTTTGCTGTTAGATTCTAGCACTGGGCGAAGCCGCGGTGCATGCTGGCCCTTCGCACAGCACTACCCTCTCCATTCTCCCGCGCCCTTGTTCTGCTTGCGTACAACCGATGCAACTACGTCAACTTTACGACGCTAAACCACCAACACATTCGCTATTTCCGGCGGGCAACGTTCACAACCAACCTCTCCCCGCCACTTTGACGTTGTGCTTCCACTTCACACTGCCATTCTCCCGCAATAGGCCCTCGCGCGGCTTTCGCACAACCAATGCAAATGCGCAAACGTCATGACTCGCGTCGAGGCCAAATAACCAGCGGGCAACGTTCACAACCAATCTCTCCCCGCCACTTTGACGTTGCGGTTCAAGGCCAGCGGCCGTGAAACCATACTGTCAAGCTACGCTTCCAAACCACCTATGCGGGCGGCGCGACTCTGCCAACTTCATAAGTCTCACAACATCTTTCATGCGGCCAATCCTCCCAAACTACCCATGCGACTGCTCTGTCCGCGACTCTCATCAACCTTACGGCGCGTTGAGTCCAGCACACTTGGACTGTCAACCCACTCCAGTCTGCGGACGGTTGGCTGCTCTAAAGGCACCTCGGTATGTCATTTTGGCCCTACTTTTTCGACTTACTGACTGACTTTTTTCCAAGGTCTTGCCGCCAGAGGCAAACAAACGGGTGGGCTTGAAACGCGACGACGACCACACCTTACAGCACATCGAGTCCAGCAGACATGGCACTGCTTTTTCGACTGTCTAACTTGGCATGCGAGCTGGTGGGCTTCAAAGTTACCAGTGTCGCAGCTGGTATAGTAGATAGTGCTTGCCAGTTTGTACTTGAATTGTGTGTCAACACAGACTCCAAGGGAATGCCGAAACTTGTGTGTGTGATGTGAATACATGGCCGTGCCTAGACGGACCATGCGAAAATGCGAGTTGACCGATCAATTATACCGTGAAGTGGTGTTACTGGTCACACATTTCTCTTCTGTTTATCCCTCCCATGTCGTCGTGCTGGCGGTCACCCCCCCCTCTGACGAGCTGCGACAGCATGACAAGTCCTACGAGTGCCGTGGTGAGCTGCTTGCCTTCCTGCTGGCTGTTGCTTATTTGCTGTAGAGACTCTCTTTTTGCCTGGTGAGTGATCAGTCATCTCTTTTTTTTGTTGCCCTCGCTGCGCTGCCTTCGGGAGGAGACCATGCATGGACATTGAAGGAAGTGCAGAATGTGGTTCTCTTTCCAGAGAACGCGTTTGTTAAGCTTAATTAACGCGTTTTCAGGTACATCTCGAAATCTGTCCAGCCAAAATCTATGCAAAAAACGCGCAAGTCCGAAATTAAGTGTTGAAAGTTCAGTCACGTGACCGCGTGGACTTGGCGTGGGACGGGGATGTGCGGCTGCGGACGTGCGGCGGACGTGCGGCGGATGTGCCAGCGGGTGGAGCAAACGTGCGGCGGCGGCGGCAGCGGAGGGACGCGCGCAGGGACGTCGACGCATACATGATTAGTTTTCGTGTGGTACCATCCAGAGCAGGTCTCGGATATGTCAAGACTGGCATGCTGCCGTCAAAGGTGGTCAAACGGTCGTATGAGACGATGACTCGAATGGGAGTACATTTTGATCATGATTTGTTTACAAACTAGCCATGGATATGTACGTTGCAGCTGGTACTGTAGCAGTAGAGTGGTAGCGCGTCATGTCAAATCGTATAGCAAATCGTATAGTCACATGACATTGTTTTCCAAACGCCCGTCCAAACTCCTGGCCTTCCACCTTACGGTAGAATACCGTACTTTTGGCTTCATTTACTAGCCAACGAGTCTTTATGGGCCATAACACGTGACGCGTGATGCATTGATGGCGCACTCTAACCACAACCATATCATTGCTGCACTACAAAATGCTTATCCGTTCGACGATAAATCTACCACCCTCCTGGACTTCGCCTGCGGAAAAGGTCTCATTTCTCGTGGACTAGCTCCGTACTGCAAGAGAATCGTTGCTGTTGATCGTCTACAAACTTCGGTTGACTTCTTCCAGGAGAGAGTCCACAATCAAGGTACTTACCATACGCTTGTTACTTGTCCCAGACAAAGAAATGATTAGGTATCCCTGAGGATGAACTACACATCGTTTTGCGCAGAGCTTCAAGGCCACGACTCCGAATTGGATGGCGACAAGTTTGATGTTGTGGTTGTCTGTCTATGCTAGACCTTATTCGTGCTGTTCACTTCTTTAGTGCTCTGCAGCATACCACCATCTGGAGTCGATAGAAGCGACCACGGGCGTGCTGGCATTCTTCCTCAAACCTGGTGGCTATTTGCTCGTCGTGGATTTCACGACCAGTGATAAGGTGATTCCCGAAGACGTCCCTAATAGGTTTGGCTTCTCGAAGGACCAGATTTGCGCCGCTTTTGAGGGGGCTGGGTTGATAGAAGTTGACTTCGAGCAGCTTTCATCGGCCAGGTTTCATGGCCAGACGGTGGATTTGTTTCTCGCTCGAGGGAAGAAAAGCAGCTAGCACCTGATAAATCGAATTTTCTCTCCTGTTACCATCTTAAAAATCATTCTTTTACTTCTAAACCATCCCTCTAGTAAGTAATTGTAACAACAGCCGCCGTCGAGCCCTGGGTTTGTACCGTGGTGGTAATACCATCAGCGGTGTCGCTGACAGTGGCCCAGTTGATATTCGGGAATCCGCCGTTAGTCAGCTGCAGGTTGGTGGCCGAGAACACCGTCGAGCCCGCCGGGTAGTCGTCGCGGGTGGTGACGCCATACGACTCGAGGGTGAGCGTAGCCCATTTCAGCTCTGGGCCACCATCGACCTCGAGTCCCGTGCCGCCAACATTGGTGAAGGAGGAGAGGTAGTTGAAGGTCCCGCCAGACGCGCCAACGAGCCGGACTTCACCCTGCAGTCTTTGGCCGACAGAAACACCGACCAGAGGCGAAAAGAATGTCCCGCCGGGGTAGAGGTACCATGAAGCAAGCATCCATTGCGGGCCACCTTGAGCGAATTGCTAAGTACTTTGTTTTATAGTGCAAAAAGAAATCGCACCGCCAGCTGCGCTCCGTCCCCACTGAGACACACAGAGGTTGATTTAGAAGGCAGACAGAGAGGAAATGCGCACCTGTAAAACGGGTTGCATGATGCCGTCAAAGCTTCCCGGTCTACAGTGAGAGATGAGGATTTCAGAACGGCAGTGAACCAAGTTACGCACTCAATGCTGTTGAACAGGAAGATCGTTTGACCGTGGTTTGCAGCTGGTGCGGGTGGGACAGTCCAGGTAGTCTTGAATGAGCCGATCGGGACATCGTTGTTGAAGTATGCTACCCAACCGGTTTGCCAGGGAATCGGAAGCAGGGGTCGGCGCGCATGTATAACCCTAGTCGTTAACGCTGTCCGTCGGATGGAAAAACATCATGTTAAACCCGACCGACAGCGCCGATTACTCTACAATTATCTGATGCGCCTGACCTACACCCAGACAAACAGAACGCGCCTTTCCTCGCGTTCCCGAACGACGGTGGCGTGTTGCCGTGATCCGCCAAGTTCAAGTCCAGGGAGTTGTTCTGGCCTCCGGGGGCAAAATCCTGCAAAAAGGTCAGTTTTGAAAGGCATATGATGTTGTTTGCCATTTCATAGTCGAAACTCACCATCGAAACCCACCCGGCCCTCGCCCTCTCTCCCAAAGTCCTACTAACCAACTGGCGGCGACCAGCGAGTCAGTCCGCGAGATTACAGAAATGTTGTATCGCCAGGCAAAACTTCCACTCGTTCCTTGTCCGACAACCCACCATGCCCAGATCCGCATTCCCCACAATGACGACCTCCCACAGAACAAGCACCGTCGTCGCAAGTGCGAGTAAACAGCATTTTGCACGCCTCGGGCAGCAAAATCCTGCAAACAAGTCAGTTTTGGACGGCAGACAAATGACGTAGAAATGACTTACATGGGTGTAGCCATACATGTGAATTCACCATCATTCTTTCGCGCAATTGGGCGTGTCTGCGGCAGAAAATGAGTCAGAAGTCTGAAAGAATCAACGCGACACTTACTGTTGGCGGGAGCGAAGAATTAGCTGCCCTTTTGCTCGAATGCGGACGCCGAATAAGGCTGTGAGAAACAGTAAGTCGTTGTTTGCCATTTCATGGTCAAAAAACTGACCTTGCCCGTCATCGCAACTGGCCACGAACAGCGAAGTCAAGTCTGCAGAGACGCGCTACGCCTCGCGGGTGAACGAAGATGCTAAGGACAAGTTGAAGTAGGTAAACAACAACAACAAGAAAAGTGAAGCACCGTTGAACGACGGTGCTCATGAAGATGGCCAACGAGAGGCGCTGCGCTAAGCTTTACAAGTTAGCGCAACATCATTGGCAAACATGACAACTCACCGAGAGTGAACGTGCAAGGCGCCACACGAGTACGACGACAATCTTGAATCCTAGAGCTAGTTAGTAAAGGGCCAAAATGCATAAAACAACTCACCATGTTGTCGTGGTCAAACTGACTTTGCGCCCATGCTCGCTGCGACAACCATCTGGGGGTCCGAAGACAAACGGTAAACCAATCAGATGAGCAGAAAAAAGAAGGCGCACGTTTGCTCGATTAGGCGCATGCGTTGTGATTTCCAGGCCCGCATGCACCCAGATAAACTCCCGCGTTCTCCAAGACGACCAATTTGTAGCGAAGGGAGGTGTCTAAAGAGAAGTCAGCAAACGGTAAGTGAAAGATAACTTAGCAAACTCACATTTGCTCGATGCACATTCTGTGATGCGCCTGACGGCGCATGCTTCGCCCGATCTAGATCCAGACAAACAGAACGCGCCTAACGGCGCTTTCCTCGTCGCGTTTGCAAACGACAGCAAACTCCCCACTTTCTCCACGACCACCTGGGTAGTTGCGGCAAAGGGAGCTGTCTGAAGAGAAGTCAGCAAATGGTAAGTGAAGTACATCGAAGCCAACTCACGGTTTCCTGATGATGCGCCTGACGTCGCATGCTTCGCGCTCGCTACGCAGACAAAGTCGACGCGCCTGACGGCGCTTTCCTCGCGCTCGCAAACGATAGCGGCTAGAGGGTGAACTTGTTGTTGCCGCGAGTCCGCCAAGTTCAAGTCCAGGGCGTTATGCACGCCTCCGGCGGCAAAATCCTGCGAGAAAGTGAGTTTTTGAAAGGCAAAAAAACGACGCCAAAAGCGCTTACGTAATCGCAGTATGCGTGTAGGTGGCGGAATTTGTGGGACGAAGTGAGGCCGGAGACTGAAGTTGGCATCCCAGAAGGCTTCCAAAACGTGTCGTTGTTTGTGTGTGGGGCGTGTGGGGCAGGGGTGTGTCGATTGGGTGGAAATGACGAGAGTTGGGACCTGTACAGACTTGTTAGAGAAGTTTGGGCGTAGAATCAACAAGACACGCACCTTATTGTCGAGCTCTCCCAGCTGAACGACCCCAACAACCCACCCTCCGTTTGAACTGGTCGTAACCTGGTCGCGGGTGTTGACGCGGTCGTTAGGCATCCTAGCGTTGACCGTTTAATAGGCGGGTTGGCACCATACACGGTAACACACCTTAAAAAGCCCAACATGGCAGTGGGCGAGCCCTACGCGGGCATTGAACTTGAGGAAGGTGAAGGATGAGCGCCGAGCTGCAACATGGTAAGCAAGCGTTGACACGGAGCCAGAAGACTGACCGTGGCTGGTCGTGGTCGAAAGACAAGTCACGATTCGTGTGACGGCACGCGATAATCTTGACTTCAGCCTTGTCGGCACTCACAATCTCCCGCCTTAAAGCTGCATCCGGCAAGCCGCGGGCACTGTCTCTCAAGCTTACTGGGGCCTTGTCTCACGAAGTCCACGGCTACAACGACATCAAGACCACCTCTCCAACCCGGAGGCGATGTGAGCTCGGCCCGGCAGGTGCTCAGCGGACCAACTTATCGACCGTTCTCCCGGCAACAACAGCCTTTTGCGATCTCCTCAAGTCCCGGCAACGGCTGCTACCGCACGGGTCAATGTGCTCACAAGCCGCAGAAATGGGAACAGAAGACGCAGCCAACTCCAACCACTGTCTGCCCGGGCGTTGACTCAGACGACGACCACAGTCTTCTTGGGAATGAGCCCAAGAACGGAGTACAACACCCACAACTCGCCGGAGAACAACTTCACTGGCTCGTCGCCAAACCCAGCGACCATTATTACCGCCAACGAAGACGGGGACAACGACGAGCGTTGTAGGCGATGAGAAGAACGCGCCGAGTACGGAAACTTGCCAGTGAAAAGTCAGTCCATACTGTCAATATGGGGAACGACCACTCACTTACCAGTTTTGCAGGGCCCGAACAACGCAAACCCAACCCCGACAACTCTGCCTCGTCCTCGTCGTCTACAGCGTTTACGACCACCACCAACGCCTGCTGCAATCCATCGTCGGGTTGTGTGGAGAACTTGCGAGCAAGGTCAGTCCAGCTGTCAATGTGGACAACAAACCACTCACCAGTTGTGAAGCCCTCGGCGACGTCAACATCTTTGGCAACGCCATTGACTCTGCATGACCCGCCATCGTCTCCAGCGTTCACGACCACCACGAATGTCCGCTACAATCAAGTTAGCACAAGAAAGCTCGGCGAATGGCGGCAAGATATACCGCCAGAGTCAAGGCCTTCAATTTGACAACAACGCTGTCGGGCCAGTATCCGCCAACCGCCTACTGCCCAACTCCAATCGAATTTGCGCCGACTTCGGGGCAGGAACAGTCGAGTGGTGGATCGATGGTGGAGATGATGAGAATGGTGGCAGTCTCGACAGGCTGCTTTGCAACGACCATTAGCCTTGGTTTCGGCAAGCGCAAACTGGGGAATTCAGCACAGAGATAACAACGGCAACATCGGCACTCACCGATAACTCCTCGCGACACACATTCCCGCCTCGGCTTCTAGATCCCGAACCCTTCTCCCCTCATTTCAACTCGGCGAAAACTGGACAAGTCAGTGCGGAGACAGCAACGGCAATGCCAACACTTACCAGTAACTCGGCACACAAGAGGCTTCGGACTTGGGGATTCTAAGCGCCTGACTTATCAGCAAGACGAGGAGAGGATCCAAGCCGGAGCGGAAACTCACCTGCCGACAAGCACAAGTCCAGCCAGCGTCAACCGCAAGATTGCCTCCGTCCACGACGACCAAGACGGCTCAAGGCCATAGACGACAACGGCGGTGGCCCTCAATCTACCACGTTTCCAACATCGACGACGAGCGGGCGGAGTAGGCAGAGAAGTGGGAGAGAGGAAGGGGGAATGATGAGAGAGACGAATTGGGTCTGGGTTTTATACCCAGTACCCGTCGGCGCTCGGCGAAAGCGGCTTACGATATGTCAGGGGATCGCTCGCCGGAAAGACGCACCGCTGACAGGTGAACCTAGGAATCTCGCCACTGCCGTTAAGGCGTGGAATCTGGTTTGGAGAGCATTGCAGTCGAGTAGTGGGCAGATAGCATGTATATAAATATTTAATATGATGTTCTCGTGTGCTCAGACATGTTTTAGCATAAGGTTCCACACTCCCAGAGACCAAAGTATAAGAAAGTAGATTTGGAGGTTGGAAGGGAAATACGACATACCAAGACGACGGAGCGCCCAAGGTGCAAGCGAGTGACACCAGGGATGATGGTGCCGTCATTCCTGGGCGTTTCATGGCTGAATCCCGCGAGTTCCGCCGTTGAAAACGGGGGAATTCTGCAAGATGAATGAAATTAAGGCGGACTAGACCGTTCTGTGGAGGATCGGAGGCCGCTAGCTCGCTGGTATATGCTACCATGTGCAGTGACTGAAATCTGAAGGCAATCGGACAGCCCCCTAGCACGTAACCCCAGGAATCAGAGCGACAGCACACCTGCAGAATATCATATATTTCCGGTCCTCTTTGGGCGGGGGGGAAGGATTAGTTCGCCAGAGCGCTTACGTAAGCACGTGATCCTCAAATTTCAGCCAAATCGGAGCACTTTTAGCTATAGAACGCGGGCCAGATCTAAAATTTCCATTTTTGGTTGCCAGCGGTAGCGTGCGATCAAGTCACGTGACCGCTCGGCGGAGCCCATTTTTGAGACTTCAACTTGATTTTTCAGTGTGAAATGTGGCCTGAGTGTGAATTATAACTGACAGTCATGAAACTTAGAAGTCCTGTGCAGATTTGGGGATAATTTTGAATGAATCTAAGACAACTTAGAGACTTAAACAAATCTAAGATTTCCATTTTTTTTTTTTTTTGTCATCAGCAATGTGATCACGTGATCACTGGCAGCAGCTTTATCTAGAGACTATAGCAGTCCCTGAATGTTCTCAAATTTTCTTTAAAAATTACTGAATACCATATTGCCACATTTCCTGCCTGTGACCTGATTATGTTTTCCATTCCTCTACATGAAAATGTTTTGGGTGTCTACAGAAGTAGCGGAGGCTTGCAATATACTCACTAATTATTATTACACTTATTTTTATAAAATAGTATTAGGCATCTTTGATAACATCCACCAGAATATCTGTGTAGACAAAGTGTCTAGAAACATGTGTACACGGTACATTACTTTGAAAGGTTACACCTTTGGGCACTTTTTGAATAAATACTTGATTTTGGAAGCGCTGATATATATGGCATCCAGATTCTTCTCGGATTCAAAAGTCTGCACAGTTTTACATCTGACACAAGTGAGACCTTAAGAAATAGTCTTCTAGAAGATGCAGGAGAGCACATATACTAGGAATTCAGAAATGTGAGAACTGACATTAGCATAGCCACCAATGTCAGATCAAGGACAATTTGATGGAATGTGTCAAAGCTTGTGTGGGGCACAGAGCACCAATGCTAGGGAGTATAGCCATGGAAATTTTAGGATATGTTACACCATAGTCTGGGAGCTGTGTGACCAAGCAACAGAAGGAAATGTCCAGGAACTGGCAAGATATTCAAAATATATCTTTGAAACATTTCTACAGGCATTCTCAATGAGGACAAGAGGCCTGTCCAAGAAAATGGACTGAGAGAAAGTGGTACATATACTCTTGAATCTGACACTTGCCTGATGGGATCTGACCTGGGAATTCTCAGTTATAAGGAAATTGATATTCTGGGAAATAATAATTAATGGAGATCAAGATCACGTGACTCTTGATAGAAAGAGCTGAATTTTTTCATCGACCGACCAGAAAAAATCTTAGATTGAACAGCCAAAAAATGACGCTGGCACATTCCAACATAACCACCGATCTACAATTCCACTGGATTGCTGGCTGCATAGCGTTTCATCTGCAGCACCCCGCCGGAGCGGCACCAACCCTAACCCTAAATATCATATATTTGTGGTACTCCGTTGCTTCAGATGAAGGGTGGGCTCGACAGGAGGCTTACGTAATCACGCGATCCTCAAATTTCAGCGAAATCGGAGCACTTTTAGCTATAGAACGTAGGCTACATCTAAAATTTCCATTTTTGGTCGTGAGCGGCAGTGGGCGATAAGGTCACGTGACCGCTCGGCGGAGCCCTGTTTTGAGACTTGACTTCAGAGTTTCAGTGTAAATTATGCTCTTGGATATTATTCAACTTATATATTGAGCTGTCTTTGGAATCAATTTCCACAGAACTTGCTCTCCTGCAGGTTTAAAAATTACCATTTTTGATAAGTGTTGGAAGGGAACATGATCACGTGGCTGCAGACAAGACACTTATTTGGAGTATTTAATTGGATTTTGCAGTGCAAATTTTACCTCTTAGAGTTATTTTGA